TCACTTTATTGATTAAATATAAGAATTTGACGCAAAAGATAATGCACACTTCTAGAAAAAAGCTAAAAATGCCCATAAAGGGTCAAAATAACTTTTGTTGGAAAAGATTCATTTCTATCACTGCTGTGAACTGACCACGCAGAATATGAAGAATATAAAAAACTTTAGGAGTCTGCTGTCCACGGCAGTCCTGCAACGCAACACACTCAGAAAAATATAGTCTGATTATCGTTATTGCTAAAATCCCAGAAAATAGAGATATAATTTTTTGTCTCTATCGCACACCCTTACATATTTATTCTTCTTTGCTTGTTTGGTACACATAATTCACTGATCATGAAGCTTAAAATAAGCTTATCTTAGAAATAAGTTTTCTCAACGGTAACGATCGAGGACACGACAAAAAAATAGGTGAATCATATTTATATCAGGTTTTATTTATTTATTTATTTATTGATTGATTGATTTATTGAAGGGGCGGGGTCTGGTTAATATTGTGAAATATCATTACAATTTAAAATAATGGTTTTCTATTGTAATATACCTTATAGTTATTTCTGAGATGCAAAGCTGAATGTTCAGCATCATTACTTCAGTCTTCTCTGTCACAATGTAATTAATGTATTGGAGCTTCAATGTATTGTCAATGTCGGAAACAATTGTGCTGCTTCATATTTTTCTGTGATATTTTTACAGGATTGATTGATGAATCCTGGCAGATTATTATTCAAAATATAGAAATCTTATCAATTTAACATTATTGCTGAATAAAAGTATTAATTTTCTTTCAAAAAAGAAAGGAAAAAATAAATGAATAATAAAATAAGTGCTGTTCTTTTATTCTTCAAAGAATCCTAATATAATGTTTTAAACCTAAAATAAAGCAAAGAAGAGAGGCGCTTGAAAAACTGAACGTTAATCAGGCATAATGTATTTTCTATGTATTTTTCTATTATTTTATTATTATTTTACAGCAACAGTCTCAGATCTAGCAGACGATTGCGTTTGACGGGTTGGCCATCACTGATGTGCTGTAGGCTACATTAAAAATGTGACAGATAAAAACACAATAACCCCCAAATGTAAAAAATTTCAAAAAGGATTTCATAAAACTAAACGACATGAGTATACCTATAAGCAACACAAACTTCACTAAAGGATTCCTTTCAGAGACATTCGTTATTTATATGTTATAGACTTTTTATACTTTTTTATGTTATCGCCATTTTGCATATTGCATTGCCATTTTGCATATTGCATTTTAAATTGAATTTCGCTACCTATATGCTTCCATACTTGTGATCAGATCACCCAAGATGCACATTAATACCAGGTGAACAGGGTCATGTGACAGTATTTGCAGTAGAAATGTACAGGATGTGAGACTTAAGTCACCGTCTTATTAAGATTTATGATATATATTTGTTTATGGTGGCAGGCCACGGGAAGACCGTGCCAATTCTGTCCAGTCAGACGCCAAACTCTCCAGAAAAGACAGTGAGGTTAAAGAGGATGAGATCCAGCGAAGTTCCTTTGCCAGTAGATCTCACAAAACATTGCATACAGCCCAAAACCAACACAGCTCAGTGTCACGATCTGAGTTCAGTGCCAGTCTGGTTCAGGCTTGTGGGTCCAGTCAAAGCTCTGGCAGCAAGAAGAGAAAGGAACCAGAGCACGACACCGAGAAACCTGCAGCAGCCGCTGATTTAGATATGTCACTTGAAGAGCTCGAGTCCATAATGTCTGATGAAATGGATGAGCCTCTGCAGTCTGCAGCTAATAAAAAGCAACGTCTTGATTCAGGAACGAACAGCAGAATCAATAACCCACGATTACCGAATCAGCAAGAGGGCACTGAGTCCAAAAGCAGAAAAAGCACAAAGAATCAGCAAAGCATTGCCAACAATTTTCAGAACTTGCAGTTGGACAGAACAGGCCCAGCTGCAACAAATCAGGGCTCTGAGAGGCAGTCAAAGAGGTCATCCAATCAAACGCCAGATCTGGAAGCGCATAGTTCAGCAAAGACGGGGAAAAGACCAGAACTTGAAGAGGTCAAAGAAAAGGAAGTGTCTTTTGTTGTGGTACAAAGACAGCCATAATTTGTTTCATATATATGTTTTATATTATATCTTGTCTGTTTTTAATCTGTAGAACAGCTAGTTCCTTGTTTGTTTGTCTTTCAGAATTCAAGGACCCAAAATGGCATTTCCCAGCACTGTGAGCCTGCAATCAGACAGGAAATGCAGGTGAGAGGTTTTAATACAGATGCTGGTTGTGAGTCAGTTTGACCTACACTACCTAAAATATATTTTCAGGGTTTCAGAAAGGTCAAGATCACTATGTTTACCCTAGTTCCCACTAGAGTATAATAATAAAGTAAAATCTCTGTACTTCTGAAGGCCTCAACCTCCAAATCTGGATCCGTGAATGACCCTGAGCTGCCCAGGAGGCTCCTACAGATTCAGTTCATGTCCCTGACTGTGAGCACCTCTTCCAGACCAAGACCCGGTCCACTACAGACCCATGACCCTAATGACAAGAATGTGAAAAGGTTCCGCAAGGTTAGAGGATGCACACTTCAGTGATATAATGCTTGTTTATCTCTTTATGTGACATTTTGAATGGCTGTTGGTGGATGTGCATGTATCTTATCTGTGTGCATGTTTAGAAAAATGTCCCTGGATTTAATGGGCTGCCCAACATTATCGGAGGTTCGGATCTGGCGGCTTACAATCGCAGTAAGAACTCTGAACTGGAGGAATGGCTCAGACAGGCAGCAGAGGTGAGAGACCGTGGAAACAAGGAAAGTGGTGGGGGAGGGTTGTATATTATATTTACATCATCAGCCCGATAGTAGTTATTTAGGTGCACATACATTTATTGTAATAAATTGATCACAAGTAACAGTAAAGACTTTTATATTGTTACAAAAAAATCTTTCAACTTTGAACTTTCTATTCATCAAAGTATCCTGGAAAAAAATCCATCGATCCCGGTTTCCACAAAACTGTTAGCAACACTGAAAAAAAAAAATGTTTTTGAGCACCAAATCAGCATATTAGAATTAGGGATGCACCGATACCGATACTGGTCTCCTGTACTTCAAGATGAATTTGTTCTGACACAGTTTAACTCTGAGTTCTTGTCATATTTTATTACCATTTTCTAAACTATAGCGAATAAACTGTGATAATGTGAGAAATGTTGAATGTGTCTGAATACATTTTGGTTTGACTGTATCTATTTGATAAATTAAATTAACCAACTAACATTATACATACTCTTTTGGTTTCTGTACCCAATATGTCAAAAATTTACAAATGCAATAGAAATATCGGTATCGGCAATACCAAAAATAAAAGTATCGGTATCGGGCGAGTACTGGAAAAAGTGGTATCGGTGCATCCCTAATTAGAATGATTTCTATAGGATCATGTGACACTAAACTGGAGTAATGGCTGCTGAAAATTCAGCTTTGCCATTAGAGGAATAAATTACATCTCAAAATGTATTCAAGTACAAAAGAGATCTTTTATATTGTAATATAATATTCCACAATATTGATGTTTTTACTGTATTTTTAATGAAAGAAATGCAGCCTTGGTGAGCATAAGAGACTTCTTTCAAAAAGAAATATATAGATTAATTTCTAAATAATAGATTTCCTCACTGAACCCCACGGTATTTGTGTGATCTTTTCCCTTAATTTTGTAGTTTTCACATAACTATTACTGTGATTTGTGTGGAATGTTAAGGACCCTAGATAGTGGGTTGAACATCAACAATGATAGCAGTAACTTTTTTTCTGAAAGCTAAAAGCAACAAATAGAAGAACGACTGAGCTGTCGTCCACATGCAATGGATGCAAAACTGAAACCTGTTAACCTGCAACGACCATCCACAATTCTGTCTATTGCAGTTCATTTTTCATATTTTAATGGTATTTCTTACTCTTAATCAAAATAGGCCATGTGAATATGAATATTTCCTTAAAAATGTAGACTAGCAGTCACTTCATCTAATTGAAATGCATTCATGTCTGATGCAATTGCTCACGTGCTAGTAGTTGCTGACCCCTTACATGTTGAATACAGTTATGAATACAGGATTTGTGTTCTCATTTCTGGCATTCTCTTTCTCTCTCTCTCACTTTTAGGAGGAAAAACGGAATGAACGGGAGGAGATTTTGGGAGATGATTTGTTCAGGTATGCAGTCTGTGTACTTTTGCATGCAGTAGGGCATAAATGGATAAATGAAGGGCATGGATCAAAAGGCCAGAATGCACAGAATCAAGTCCAGTGAGGTCAGCACGCTGACTGATCTTGTTTGATCCCTGTACAATTCTCATCCTCATCCAGACACTCGCCACCTGCCTAAACTAACAATACATTCAACAAGACACTGACCTTTAACCCCAGAAAATCAAGGCTTACAATGAGACAATAACTTTTGTGAAGGCTTAGTCTGCAGTGGACTGGCTGAGACCGGTTTCTCTTACGCACTGAGGCGGGCAGGACAGAGAGATGTCTGGTTCCCAGTATTGTGCCTGGTTTTGAATCTTCTGTCAAACAGGCGCTCAGATATTTGGTGGTAGACTTGCACAGCTTTGACATGCCAGTGCTCTGACTTTGAAAAGCTCCACTCGACCGCAGCAAGTTTCTTTCTTAAAGTTAAGCACACTTTTTATGAACTGAATTCATGAACTCATCAGCTGTGTGATTTGGCTGGTGATGAGCTGTTGGGCCTGATCCACCAGTGTCACGCCATCACGCATGAGTTCTTGAAGGGTTTTTTTTCTCCTTTTAGCAGATCCTCCATTTTCGTAGAGCACGCTTGGAAAATATGACGTCAATGATTTCCCAACTGCATTTAAGTCATTGTTCACAGTTCAGGTCACGCTGGGCTGCGAAGACCCGTGGATATTTCTAACAAGCTCCTGCTGTTTAAACGCAGTGATTAGGACAGAAAATAGAGTGATGATTTAAGTTAGTGGTCAGTGCCCTGTAAGAGCACTTCTTTAGTAGCTTCACTCATATCAAAGATATTCTATCTCTATGAGGAATAACTACACACATATCCAGAAAGCAAACTCCCAAACACTTTTGTCGAAATATATGCCAGTCCACTCAAAAAGTTTGACAAACACACACACACACACAACAGTGTTTGGAAGTTTGCTTTTTGGATATTGGTGTAGTTACTCTAATACAACATAATCTTTAACACACCCCTGTTTTGGGGGGGAATGTACACATTTTTAAGTAAAAATGGAAAACGTTTTATGTTTCGGGGGCCTGAAAACACAAACTTTTGAAAACAGGTTTCAAAGTGCATGTTTTTAAAAACTGCCATTAATGTCTCTGTGTAAACTACAAAAACGCAAGTTTGTGAAAACAGTGTATCGTGCGTGTACGTATTACATGTTCGTGTAGTATTTATTTAAATTGGCAACTACTGGCCTGGCATGCATAATACAGTCTTTTAAGTCATTTTTCAGTTTCGTTAGCTCTAGGATTTACGCTTACAGAAGAAGAAGGTTTAGGCCATGTCAAGCACGGAATTGTTGCCTGGAGACTGAACCTGGCTAACGGGGGACTTTCAAGTGCTGCCATTTCTCCTGCCTAAGCAGAAAAACACACACTCGAGCCCTCAAATATACACACAGCCACGACCGTGCGATTTGTCCATCACAACTGTTTGATCTCTGAATCTGCTCAGCCAGTCATGCATGGTGTGGGAACATCACACAGAAAATAAAAAGAATGAAAAGAAAACAGCACCTCTGTTTTTCCATCGTCTTCTCCAGCTCCCTCCTTCCCCCAGGCTAATGAAGTGTCCCAGACATGTTTTATGGAAGGGGATGTCTGGTTTGATGACTTTTAAACAATGTCTGATTTTTACAGCATACCAGTTTGTATCAATTCGCTCAGTTATTCAATCATTTAGACACTGGTTACTAATTGTCACCGTAGGGCAGGAATGTTAAAAGCCTTTGTGGGAATGATGGTTGGTCTGTATAAATTACTTGCTTTTGTGTTGAATCTGTTTTTTTTTTTCCTCTCTCTCTCGTTTTCTCTCAGGTACAACCCTAGACTGGCAAAGAAATAATAGTTCATAGTGCTGCTATCTGTGAAAAGATGCAAAGCAAAACACGTTTCCATTTTTATTAGAGATTTATTGATCTATAATAAAAAATACTCCGTACAAAACCTATATGTATATATTAAAAGTTGGAGTTTTACAAAATTGAGCAGTTGTATTTTGCCTCCACGCCAACAATACATCACCTTGTGAAGCAGCTTTGACCGTCCTGCATTTAATTAAAGGACTTTACTTCTTACAGCTCTGATTTGTCTTCTTATGGTTTTGGTTCCTTCAAGTGTACCTTCGTCTTTTGATGATATCTACTATCTAAAGTAAACTGTCACTCCACACAAAGATTCCCTCAGCAGTCTAAACTTACAGTATGAATGGCTGAGGTGAAAACTTAACAACGCTAGCTCAGAAGTTATTTTAGTTAATAATTCAAAGCAATAAAACATTTATTTGTCAAAACAGAGTATAAAGTAATATATTTCACTATTGAGTACTGTGAAATACCTTATTGAGGAGTCAAAATTTCTAAAAAAAATTTGAAAGGGCGGCCTTTCATTGGACTGATCAAAATTTTCTGTAATGTAGAACATTCTTGTTTATCTATTTTACTTAAAATTACCAGAATGACTGACAAACACCATGGTTACTGTAAATGAAAATGTACTGTATTTCAAAGGTTTGGCACTTGTTTTAGGTTACAATGAACCTCAATGAGGTTGGCTCATTATTAGCTCATCAAGGTTTTGGAAATTTTGTGCGTATTAATATACATTAATTGTGCGTTAAAGGGGTCATATGATGTTGCTAAAAAGAACATTATTTTGTAGAACGAGCCGTTTTAGGTAGGCATGGTTGACTCTTAACTTTTATAAAGAATATCTCTTTGGATTTGAGACTTTAGTCTTTGCAACTTTACAGATCTTCTTTATGCACCAAGAGCTTGTAACACTCCAACGAGAAAGGACAAATTTAAATCGCATCATATGACCCCTTTAAATGGCATTTCACAGCAGAAACATTAATGCAGACTGCAACATAATCTTTATGAACTAGGCCTTCAGGCCTAAGTCATCTGCTCTTTTGGTATTGCTTTCTTTTACTGCTTAATGCAAGCCTCCTTGACATATGGTGTGTTCACACTGACAGATATTATATCAGAGATTCTGAGCTGTTGGTGTTTAGTAGGCATTCCTACTCTGCTCTGTATCCAATTTCGCGACAAATCACTGCGCTTACATTGATAGTTGCTGCATCTTTTAGCTCTGCTAAACTGTCACTTCTCAACAGCAAGTCTGTTGCTTGTGACCACCTCTTAATGATGCTTGGTTGCTTTGTCGCTACAAAACGCTGTCAGTGTGAACGCTCCTTTAGGCACTGCAATCATGACAGAAAGATACACTATCTATGATGTAGTGTAAGAGCAGGTAACTAATTACAAACAACAAGGCAACTAACAGCATTTGTAAAAACAAGAGGTAAAGCACACTCCATGACACTGACATATTGGCACATTATTCCTGGCCAGCGAAAACTCCTTTTGTGAGACAGTCAACATAAGACACCATTGGGAAGAGAGAAGTTTCTCCTAGCGTCTGCTCATTTTTATAAATGTACTTTCTCTTGTAAGCTGTAGGAAAGTTGTAGTTTCATTAGTATTCACTGCATACATATAAAAATGAGATGTATTCCAGGACTCTTGTCATGAGGCACCTTCTCTTGGAGCCTTAGACAAATCCTCCTCCTCCGCCCCCACTTCCTTCTCTTCCCCGTCCTCCACATCCTTCTTCCTCGGTGATCAATTTTCTGTTCTTTTCAATCCTCTGTTTTAGCCTCTTGCGCAAACAGCTAGCAATGCCAAGAGCGCCACCCTTTAAGAAACGTACAAAGTTGTCACCAACAAGGGGTCCCATGGCAAAGAGCCCAGACTCAGTGTTGCACTCGAAGGTGTAAGGGTTTATGTCGATGGGATTCTGTCTGCAGAAGATTGGCCTACTGGGATCCAAACCAAGGTACTGCCCTTGCTCCTTCAAGAAAAACAAGTTGGGATAGGTCCCAATAAGAACTAGCACCATAGAGACTTTGAAGACTCTAAGGACACCATTGGATCCCCTCATCACACAGTGCATGTCAGGCTGGAAGGAGAGCACACAGTGCTCAGGGAAGCTGGTGTAGTCGGGGGACAAAGATGGACTAGGAGCTATGGGATTGGCAACAGGGGATGCGGAGTAAACTTGGGAACACATCATGTGGTAGACCCTGTGATATTCAGGGTAAAGTGTCTTTGGCAACTGTTTGAAGATGAGACCCAGGTCATCAGCACACTTGCGGAATGCATGCAACACGGAGACCCTATGGTTCAGGGCACACAGCACTGCATCGGCTGCGCTAAGCCCCGCCCCCACTACCAGCACGGGGTCAGAGGAAGAGCCCAGTTTGCCGTGACAGCTGACAGCCACCCCAAGGTCACGTACACTGTGGAACACATAAGGGAGATCCTCCCCCTCTACTCCCAGTCGAGCTGGAGAGTCAGATGCCCCTGTTGCTAAGACAACATTCTCGGCAAATAAGCTCAACGGGACATGAGTGTCACCTTGGAGCTGCTGGTAGCCCCTGACCTCCCAGAGTCCCTGTGAAAGTCCTTGGGAAACCCCAGTACTCTCTCTCACTCTTTCTTTGCCTCTTTTATCTTCATCCTCCTCCCTAATATCACCACTTCTACTGCTATTCCCCATTCCATTTTGTAACTCATTGCTAAACCCATTCTGACCGTTCTCAGTGCCGTTCTTATTGCAAAAATCAAACCCGTTTTTCACACCATTCAGCTGACCATTTACAGTGTTCTTTTCATTCCCAAGACTTTTTTCATGACTGCGGTGAAGTTTTTGAACAGAGGTGACGTAGGTATTGTCCACAAAGTTCTTCTGGAGACCCATGAGCTTGACATAATTTTTGTAGTATGAAGAGATCTCATCTGGAGTGGCTCGATCATTGGACACCGATCTGTGAGAAAAGCCCATAACATACATAACCCATCCATCTCAGATCTTTCTTTAACGTTTGAAAAATTGGACCATATTTCTACTTGAGAGGAACCCACCTTCTTGATATCTTCAAGAAACATTAATGCAGAGGTGTCCAATCCTTCTCAAGGAGGCCCACCTTCCTGCAGAGTTTAGTTCCATCCCGTTCTGACACACCTGTCTAAAGGTTTATAGTAATCCTGAAGACCTTGTCTGCATCTGAAAGCTTAGGCTGCTGACTTGTTGCCTCACAGCCTTATCAGGCAATGACTTTGCAGGCAGCATTTGCACACGAAGGCATCTCATGAAACTGATTTCGGACAGGCTTTTAAGGCAGCGTAACGGTTTAATGATCTACAACATAATAGAGCAAACTTTGGTGAAAACAAAGTGAATATTTAATTGCTATAATAGAGACAGAGCGCATTTAGGCCACGCACACACAACAGAACAATGCCTAAAAGCTGCTGTGTGACAAGATGTACAGTAAACAAGCTAAAAAACCCAGAACTACATTTTTATAAGCTGTTGACCCAAAAAAACAAGCGTTTAAGGACACAAATAGTTGTAGATGTCAGGGTATTTCACATTGGGCCATTCAGCTGGATCCTTTCTCAAACAAAAGGAAGGTAAGGAAAAGGGACATTGACACAGACCAATAAAATTTAGTTTCTCAATATATGTCCTCCTCTCAGGTTCACATAGGGTGGTGAAATAATCCTTTGACATGGTTAAAATAATGAATGTTTCCTGTCGCCGATTACGTTTCCCTCCAGTGAGCGTAGTTCTCAGAGTAATACGAAATGTTGCGCTATACTTTGGTGTCCTTAAACACTCGTTTTTTTGGGTCGACAGTTTATAAAAACGTAGTTCTGGGTTTTTTAGCTTGTTTGCTGTACACCTTGCCACACAGCAGCTTTTAGACATTGTTCTGTTTTTTGTTATAAGTCAGAAATGACAAGGAGTCAGCTTCCCGCAATACAAAGTCAATGGAGAAGGAATAGAGCAAACTTTGGTGAAAACAAAGTGAATATTTAATTGCTATAATAGAGACAGAGCGCATTTAGGCCACGCACACACAACAGAACAATGCCTAAAAGCTGCTGTGTGACAAGATGTACAGTAAACAAGCTAAAAAACCCAGAACTACATTTTTATAAGCTGTTGACCCAAAAAAACAAGCGTTTAAGGACACAAATAGTTGTAGATGTCAGGGTATTTCACATTGGGCCATTCAGCTGGATCCTTTCTCAAACAAAAGGAAGGTAAGGAAAAGGGACATTGACACAGACCAATAAAATTTAGTTTCTCAATATATGTCCTCCTCTCAGGTTCACATAGGGTGGTGAAATAATCCTTTGACATGGTTAAAATAATGAATGTTTCCTGTCGCCGATTACGTTTCCCTCCAGTGAGCGTAGTTCTCAGAGTAATACGAAATGTTGCGCTATACTTTGGTGTCCTTAAACACTCGTTTTTTTGGGTCGACAGTTTATAAAAACGTAGTTCTGGGTTTTTTAGCTTGTTTGCTGTACACCTTGCCACACAGCAGCTTTTAGACATTGTTCTGTTTTTTGTTATAAGTCAGAAATGACAAGGAGTCAGCTTCCCGCAATACAAAGTCAATGGAGAAGGTTGGATTGTTTTCCCCCCGGTGGGCGTGGTTTTCAGATTATGACGTGTGTCGCTCTGTCTCTATACTAATTTCTCGCTAGAAGTAACATCAAAAGTGGATGAATTTGGTCACGAACATATTTATGCACAAACAGACCACCAACTGCAACTTTCAGGCACCATCTTGATTTTTTAGCTCAACTGTCACAGACTAGAATGCACAGGATTGTAGGATATCAAAGGACATGAAGGACGATTCAAAAATAGATCAAACAAAGGCATCTCAGGAGACCGGAAGTAAAGCTGATTCGGTCGTACCATGATGCCTTCCTACCTTGGAATGCATCCTCCGAAGGCAGCATTTTCAGCTTTCAGACACAGCCATTGACAAGCTGGTTCAGGTGTGTTTAAATAGGTTTGGAACCAAATTTTGCAGGAATGAGGCTCTCCAGGAGCAGGACATGACACCACAGTGCTATTGGAAGCTACCATCAGTTATCCTCCATAGTACATACCTCCTTTTGCCTGAGGTCAAATCTCTATAGTTGACTCCTGGTAACTCCATCCATATACCAAGACTAATGGTCAGCATCGAACCTTCCATTGCCTTGGAGACCAGAAAGAGTATATTTTGTCAATGAAGGATATTTAGTAAAAAATTATTGTTAGGGTTGTAAATTCAGGTTTCTTCACATTATGTAAATTGTCTTGTATGACTAGTATATCAAAACTCTTACAACAATACTATGCCATAGAAACTACTCAAAGCTTACGTCGCAGTTCGAGAAGCTATTATTATTTTTTCAGCTTGTACAGTTGTGAGAAGCATTAACCCGACTATCTCAGAGAGGTCACTCACGTGCCAGGCACCACCAGGTGTAGCTTTTCCCAAGACCAGATGAGGAATGTGACGTTTCTTTTCCATCCTCCACTGCAGTACAGAGGGGAACTCAAAGCCCAAATCTGCATTTGGATGAAGGAGTGTGTCGAAGAGCACCGCCACAGGGTTTCCTGAACGCCCCTCTAAACCTTCGCAAAGAAACTCCAAATCCTACAGAAAGACACATTGGTCAGCTGGTTTATTGTACATTTGACTAACATTTCTGATTGTTCACAGTTTAGATTTACTCCACAATTTTTACGCCACAATTTAGTTCTAGGTTAAACTTCGCAACCTGTTTTGACACTCATCTTTTTACCTGTTCAGTGATGGGAAGCTGCTTGGCTTCCTGTAGTTTACGAAAGAGGATAGGGTTTGGGTGCACAGCCATTGGATCTAAATAAGGAGTATACCCACTCAGAAGGTACGACAAGCATATACCGGAAGGACCGTTACCTGTGAAGGGGAAATGGGAGAGACTGTGGAATGTTATATTGGAATCTACTGTTTAAGATCCATCAGGATTGGTTGATTCTGTGAATAGCATTTTTTCAACAGTAATGAATCTGATAACATTTGCTCCTTGTTGACTCACCAATGATGACTACCGGCACAGTTCGAGTACAGTCCCTCGGCACAGAACCTTCTTCTAACAGAGGCATAATGGCAGCCAGAATTAGAGCTGGCACTGATAAACACAAAATAAAAATAATTCTATCTGTAAATCTTAGCATATTACACTAAATATGCAGGCATTTGCTAAAACTGCTTTTGTATAAAACCATATGGTGTTGTGATGTTTGCATATTATTACTTGCACTGAATATCTATTATCTAAAGTTGATTAATGCACAACAAATAGGCCTAGATGGTAACAACTTGTAAATTCTATTCTAAGTCTTGTCTATTGGTGTTTCTGTGTTTAAACTTTATTTTAGAGTGTAGATAAGTTTGCAGTTGTTTTATATTATTCTGATGTGTTGCACAAGCTATTTTTCTACATTAAAGTTTTTTAACCATAGAACCAAACTAACAGTAATTTCTCCCCTCTTGTCGTAGCTCATGTGCAAAAGGTTCTAATAACAAAAAAGTCATCAGCTATGTACACAAAGATAGCCTTGCTCAGACACAGTTCCCTGCTGAGCTAATGCTAGCATTAGCGCTGCCATTGCTTCCTGACAAAAGCAAATCATAATCAGTGTTATGGAGTGAGGCACCGTTATCCGAGCACACTCATTGTTGTGACCTGACGGGTGTAAATCCCCCCTGATAGACCTCTGTTTGGCCTGTAATCCATGCTGCCCCTGTTTATGTTTTTCAAAAAAGTGGGCTTGGCATGCTGACAGTCGGCACATTGCAGCCACCCATCACAACCTGTTTTTCTTTGACCCTGGTTGTTTACACTTTTCAGAGAGTGTGCGCAGGATTCCTGGCATAACCGGGAGTGAGGATGGTGGGACAGGGGTGTGTAAGGGGAGGAGGGGAGCGTTGGCAGGGTTTGGAACTGGCATTTCCACCCCACTGCCCCATTTAACAGGCTCCAGACCACATTCACAAGGGGTACTCATGGGCTGACTAGACCCTTGTTTTTCCACACTCATTTCTGTTTTCAAAAAAGACTAGATCCTCATAACATGTATTACACAGCTTGTTTCTGACTGGTCAACCACTGAATTCAGTGGTCAAATATTTCTAAATAATGCAAAACAGTATAATTGACTGCTGATCCAGATTTCCTATAGCTGCACTTGTGTTTTGATATTTTAAAGTATTTTTTCTGCTATAATAACTGTGCATTATCCCTTATTTATTTAACAAAGCCAGTGCCAATAATAATTTCAAATGTTCCAGCTGGTTTAGTTGTTGATAAAAGTATAATCAATAGAATTGAGTATTGTTTTGTGAGCCAACATTTCCTCCATCATTGACGTTAGACATTCAAATCTCAATATTCAAGTTGTTTAAATTCTTAAGACCCTGTTTATTTATCTGCTTTCATATGATGGGAAAGCAAAACATTAGACATGGCAGGACACACTATATTTATAAGTATTTCTACAAAGTAACTGTGAATGTACATTACAAGTGTGAAGAGAGTTGTACTGCTAGTTTTGTGTGTGTGTAGTCTAGACAGTGTTATCAGTGAGCCTGAAGCTCAGACTGGATGGTATGTCAGTATGTATACAGGCATGCACGTGTATGTGAAAGCACGTGTGTATTCATGATGCGCATAAGGTATACGCCTCCAAAATAGTAGATTCACGCTCAAAATACGGCAAACGTTTACAATAATTTCATTTTAGAACAGATTGAACAGTATTCGAAAAGCACTAATTTCAGACATTAACTAATGGTGTAACAATGTTGCCATGTTACCTGCTCTGAATATGCACATCATAAGAACGTATCTGTTAAATATTATAGGCTAAATTAGTTTCTGTTTTTGTCTGTATGGCCTGTGTCTATTCATAGACGTCCACCATATCTGCACCTAGGGCTCATGTTGTTAACGGCACAAAAATGGTAGTTGTTTCAATCCTTCCAAGAAAAAACTTCATTTTACGTAGAGATAAAATGACAGCAGTGACTGTAACTTTACGCGGCCCGGTGTAGCACTAAAATGCGTGTATAAACGAGAAGCTTTAGCGGAATATCAGAAACGAACATTGTGAAAATGATGTTTGATTTTAATCTGGCACAATTTAGGTCACATCTACAGTCGCATGTATTGTTTGGAATATTATTAAAGACATTTCTATAGTGGTGTCCTTACCTCCAAACGAAAAATCTTCAGATTCTCTGTTTGTTTTTTTTCAGATTCAGATTTCGTATCTCTAGAAGGCTCGGGATGCTGCACGCTGTATAAATAGTCCGTATCCTTAGTGGGAGGATCCACGCCGAGTCACAGGATGATATTGGACGACTGATTTTCTAAAGATGCTGCTGACTGTTTTTTTAACACGTCGCTGAATCATATGCGTTATAGCTACTCCAGAGTAGCAGCGCGCAGCGCGGAAAAGCTGCGAGGCGTCAGTCTCTATCAGTCCCTATCCAGCATCATCTGCGCCTCGTGCCGCACCGGCAGGCATGCAGAGCGAGCCCAGATCCGCGGAGTCTGCCGCGCGCACATGGCATCAGAGAAATAACAGCACGCTCTTTTTCCGTTAAACGGGAGGAAACTCAATCGATCGTTACTCTATGTGCGCGTCAGCTTTGCAAGATCGCACATGTTGCATGTTTATTTGGCATAGTAATAGCAAAAGTGCCTTTTATCTCTTTATTCTGCTCCACTATTGCTCAGTAAATGTTTCTGTAGTGGTGGGTTTTATAATCAAACGACTTGTTTGTTTTTATAAAAGCATATAAAAGTAGTTTTATAATTACTTGTTCTTGGTTCACTGCAGGTGTTGTGGTTAGAGCAGTCACTTGCGTGTTTTTAGTGCCCTCATTGGAGCGCTTGCTAGGACAATACAATTACAGTCTCACGTTGCTTGAATCATTCAATTACTCTCATACGTAACACGGACTCCTGTTAATTTAGGTCAGATATGCGCGTTACTGCTCCGATGAAACTCTTGGGAAGTGAACAGGACAGTTCAGTTGATTGTTCGGTGATGGTTCAGAAACGTATACAGAACGTGTCACTGGTGAATAGTTCATGTAATAAAAAGTGTCCTAATCTTAGAGTTACCTCACAGCTCCAACATCAGTTAGGCTACCCCTTCATGAACACCATCCACAACTGTGTTCCTCCTCATAACTCATTTTAGATTTGATATCTTGTCGTAGGCTAGTAGTAGCAGTCTGTTTGATACGGAATTAGTTTGTATGTAGATTTTGTGTGTGTGTGTGTGTTTTATTTTTTTTAGTTTTGTGTCATTCATTAGTTGTTATTTTTTAAGGTCTATATGTTTTTTTTTTTGTATTTTTATTTCAGTTTTAGAGTTTTAGGTATTTTAGTTTAAGTTAAGAATGTGAGAAATAGTGCCTGAACAACTAGCTGAAACAAAATGTAAATATTTTATTTCAGTTAATACTTTTATGGTTTTAGCATTAGTTAACTGTAATAACGCTGACACCTTCAGACTGAACATACTGTACTAATTATGATGGTGGAATCTATTAGGTAATCTTTCATTATGTCACTGCACATTAATGAATTATTGTGCCATACTGTACATCAACGAACCTTTTGCACATAAATGGGTAAATATTAATTAGCAGAGAGAAATTATGGCACAAAAATCACTCAAATGAACCATGAGATAATCATGCATGCGAGAAAATGTTAGTACACCCACCTTCACTGATCTGAGATTCTGAACAAGTTCAACACAATACATAAGAGCTTTGTGTTAAATTTGGTACTGTGTATTTTAACATGGTAGTTGTTGACTGTAATTGGGCAGCTGGTACCTTAATTGGATGCTGATTTGCGGTATTGTGATTGATTGTGATTATTGTCTGGGGCTGTTGTGGCACTGCAGGGATCTGCCAGAATGTTGTTATACTGAACTCAATGTTCATTTTGACTATTGTGTTGCCCCAAGTGTAGTAGGCTATGTAAATTTTACTCTAGACATCCAAACGAATACATTGTATGTCCTTTAAATTATTAGGCCTATTATTATACAGTTCCCATAGCACATATCTGAAAATTATCACCCAATGACCCAGTTATTTTTCCACTGTAGGCCTATGTAAAATGTTTGTTTTATTTTTAGAAATTACATTTCTAAGGTGTGAGAAATGTTGAAAATACATAGGTATTGCCAACACATTATTAAAAATATATATGTTTTAATACATATTGGTTGGCATGTATTATGTTTGACCGCGTTGTAACAGAATGAGCGACATTTATTTGTACAAGCTAATTTAGCTGTAGTATGATAGACGAAAGTCACAAAGAAATACATTCTATCTCTATATTTGACAGACATGAAAAGTTAAACACGCAATAGAGTATCTAGATCGTCATCCCTTCTGAATGATAAGTTAACACTTTGATGATTTCTTGCCTGGACGCACTGGCCCTTCTGCCCAGTCCGTGCGCGCGTGCCAGCACACAGTCCACATATCTCTCCCAAAAGACCTGCGCCAACTCCATAAAAATGTCTTGATGTTTGGGTTGATTAGACCCGCTCAAGTATGTCATGAAGTCCCAGAGTCCAGCTACTGTTTCTGCAACGCGTAATTTACGCGCTTGTATTACTGCCCGTGACGAAGCGTCCCAGCATTCGCGGTTTATCTCGCCCAGCTGACCGGGAGCCTTGCCGCCCCCTGTGGCCTCGGTGTTGAGCATCTCGAGATTGGGTATAGTGTACGATGATGCGGTGGCGAGCATCAGCAGACACACTAACAGTAGGCGCCACCACTGGCCGTCAAGGAATCCCAGTAATCGTCCCATGTTGGAATCAACAGTGAAATCTTTTATGACTTGAAAACTGTTGCATATAACAGAAAGTAAATACACACAGTGTCCGTCTTCAGCCTTTACATTTATATAGCTACTACTAACCATAAACAAAATGCCACGTAAAACAACAATAATTTGGTAACGCAACAAAAAGCCAAGTTTTCAAATGGTTACATGTAAAATACTCAAACACTTACAATGTTTAGTTCAGTCTTTTCTGTCCCGTAGATCCTTTTCTGTTCATACCTTTGAGGCGAATAATTGGCTTTGAGCGAGTGTTTTACGACTTTTAAAGCGCTGCCTGCGCGCCCACGTTCCAAGCGTCATGCTGTTGATTGTGGCCCAGTCCACTTACACTAAAAACCACCTGACGCGAAGAACATCATTGAATTACAATCTGTACTTAGAGCTCATGATTAGCTTACTGTTATTATTGATTTATTATTATTATATGATTTTTTTGACAGTTAGGCTAGACAAAACCTAAATAATCTCACTTAAGAAATTAGTTAGCCTAATAGGCTAAATGTATTTCATTGTATTTTTAATGCAGATTTTTTTTAGTTGCTAGAAATCTAAAATAAATAAATAACAAAAATAAAAAATAGTAATAAAATACGAAAAAAAAATAATTATACTTCATAACAAATAGTTTTGTAATGTACCATCATTTTTAATTCAGTTTCGCATTGCTTGGGACGCCCAGATCATTCAGTCCCCTTTTGTGTAAATTGTTTACAAAAATACAATACTTTACAATTTATGACAAGGGGAGTCATACCTAAAAACCTGGCAGTGGAAATCATGTGCGCAGATAAATGTGAGCAAGTTCCCTCGAGATCATATCACTACTATTATTGAAAATTACGACGTTCTAATGCTGTCGGTGGGAGGTGGAAACATGTGTAATGGACAGGACTTTCAGCCAATCACAGCACACATTGGTATGTTTCCGGAAGCATACACGTGTTTCGTCCTTTACTTCAACGATGCAGAGCCAGTAACGTTGTATCTAAAAACAGACAGATTTAATGCAACTTTAATACATTCTCTGCCTTGGGGAGTTATTTCGGGATGGTCTGGAAAAGCAGAGTTTGTTTCCGGAAGGTTGGTATCTTTGGCGAGTTTGTCGAATGACATTTAACTAGTTAGTATAGTAGCCCGACCTTCACATGCTCAGTTTGTAACTTCTGTGTCATTAACAGATCGTGGCGCAAATTACTGTGTATCTAATTACTGTTACAAACATGAAGCTACACTCAACACTTTTATCACGTGTTAAGCATATTAGCTGATTAGTGACATGTTCAAGCTGACATATGACAGTGCCAAATAATTAACGTGATCCAAAATTCGGTTTGAATATTTCCACAAATTAATGATAAATGCGTTTTTCATAGGCTAATCTCACTGTAGGTCAGCAGTTGTAGGATGACGTGAATAAGTAGCCTAGGTAATTTTCCTGATGTGTTTCTGCTGTAATTTTGACGTTTGTTAGCCCAGACAAACCATTAATGAAATTGAGTATGCTACAAAGTGCGTCATGTTGACAAGGGGGATTGGGAATTCGTTTTCCCCCCTCTTTAATTGAATAATCGTTCAATGGTGGTCTTTCCTTGCGTCTTAGCTCATCAAATTGAATTTCCTGCTAGCTCAGGTGTCAATTCAAAGGGACATTATCTATGCTGTTGGGTGTTCATTTAGGTTGGATTTGTTAAAACATTCTTAATAAATCCACTTGTGTCAAGTATGTGAAATGAATGGTTTGTCTACACCACAAACGAAAACGTGACTGGAAACTGTTTTAGTGGTTTTCAATCCTAGTCCTGAGGACCCACAGCATAAAATAAAAGTATCTTTGCTCATTCTTCACCTCTTTAAAATGCATTTGAAGAATTGATGTGCTTATTATTTTTATACTTAATAATACTTAGTAATTCAATAAAATTAAATAAATAAAATTAGATTACATTGTTTGCAGTGCTTAATGTGATGCCCAGTCTATATGCATATTACTCTATTAGTCTATGGGTATATTACTCACCCTCATGTTGTTCCAAACAGAATGTGGACTGGGAAAGTATTGCTTTAAAACAAAGGGCGTACAATTACAAAGTAAAGCACATAAAGAGCTAAAAATTATGTTGGAACAATGCACAAAATAATGTATAAACAAAACAAAAATACATAATGCATAAACTATATCTGGTACATAAAAACGTATTATTTTTTATATATATATTATTGTGATGTTTTTCAAAAGTAAAGTTTCATAATTGTGACCTTTCTCATTTCATTGTTTTCTCTGTCCACTAATGTGTATTTTACACACATCAAACATTTTAATAGATTTGGGCTTGCTTTTTTTTTTGACAGGTTTCCCAATGCAGGCAAATCCTCCTTGCTGACTGCCTTGTCTCATGCTAAACCAAG